ATCATATGGCTTGAAAGGTCTTGGTTTGAAAATTTTAGAACGTTGACGAACTACTTGATTGTTTGAATTAGAAATAGGTGCAAGTGGTGGACGTGAAGAATTTGATGTTGATTCTTGAGAATCTATAATTTTTTGTAAATTCATTTTATGTAAAAAAAAAAAAAAGAAAATTAATATTATGTAAAAAAAAAAAAATACAATAAAGTTAAAATAAAAATACTGGTAATTACCTGGAACAATCATAGCAACCGTATTGTTCATTATTTCTTTCGTAAAGGTTTGATATGAGGCAACGCCACCAAGTGAACGATGTCCACTGAATGCCATAATTCGATCAGTATTCATGTTTAGCTGTGTGAGCATCTGAATTGCAGTTCGTCTTAGGGAATGATTCGTTATTTTTTTTAGATTCATATTAACTATACCCGTCGTTTGACATATGTTTCTAATCATTTTCTCATGAGCATGGCGTCCAAGTGGAGAATCATAAAACCAGATGCCTTTCTCGAAATCTAAAAAACAAATTTGCATATCGATATTAATTGTATAATAATAAACAAATAATGCATATTAATAATTGTATAACAATAAACAAATAAACTAATACCTTTTTTATAAGCGATTTTTAAGAAAAATTCCTTAGATGTAAAATGTTTTCCACGCCGAAGCATATAGTATAAGATATCACGAACTGGAGTAAACTTGTCTTGAGTATCAGGTGGTATTCGGCATACTCTGCCTGAATTATTGAGATTTTTCAAACCACCTGCATGATTCTTTTCGCGAGGTATAGTAACCGTAAGACCATTAGAATCATTTTCTTTCACATGATCGTATTGGAGTCGTTTGGCATCTCCACCACGTAATCCACACAAGAGACATAGCCAAAAATATACTCTGTATGTAATGGCGGTAGGTGTGTCTTGCAAAAGATCTTCATGATTCAATATTTGGATTATTTCATTATTGGTAAGTGAATCACTTTTACTAGTTTGTCGGTGATTCGTATCTTGTAGTAACTTAATTTTTCCATCAATTGTTGCATATAAGCGCGGAAATTGATTTTTATCGAATATGTTTGGCTTGGGATCTTGGCAAGAATTAGTTAATAAATGCCGAGCAATTCCGCAATAGCAGTTGTGAATTGATGTAGGTGCATATGGTTGTCCATCCTTTCTTTTTAAGGCGACAAAAAATTGAATAAGAATATCCTCTAACTCAGTACGACTTTTAACTTGTGTAATATCACTGAGATGATTTAAATCTGTAAAATATTCATTGATTGTATTTACCCATGTTTGGGTATTATGTTTAGTGTTTGCCACTTTAGAGTAATCAATAGTATAGTTGACGTCTTTCACAGAAGGTGCTTGAAAACGAGGCTGAAAAAAGTAAAAATATAAAAATCATGTAACAGTTAACGTATTTACTAATCCAAAAAAGTAAAACAAAGACCTTAGTTTTATCTTCGCTTTGACTTTTCTCATTAGTTTCAGGTTCGTTCTCACAAGCACTTTCACTATCGTCAATATCAAAAGTGCCATAACTGCCGTCACTACCATCACTGTCATTGCTGTCATCAAGAGAAATATTGGAAGAAGTGTCGAAATGGTTATTATTTTTATACATTTGTGCAGCCGTCATAAAATCCTTACTATTTGAAAAGTTCATTTTTAATTTCTGGTAAAGAAAGCGAAAGAAAATAAATGGGGAGAGAGAGAAAAAGAAAATGATCGATTCAAAAAAAATTTTTATTTATATATTTCAATTATACTTTTACTACGTAATAAAAAGTTTAATATATTTATTAAATATATATATATTTTTTAGCTAGCGATTTGTAATAAATTAGACTTTCTATGATGTGATAAAAGATTTAATTAATAACACGTAATCGCATCATGTCGTCATATAGACATAGGATAACTAATTTATTCCCCGGGTTGGGGAAATAATGAAATATCTCCCCGGCGGTGCTTGAAAGTACGATATAGAATGTGACCTGCCGCTTACGCGGCAGGTCACATTCTATATCGTACTTTCAAGCACCGCCGGGGAGATATTTCATTATTCCCACCAACCCGGGGAATAAATAGTATTTATTTGTAAAATAATTCATTAGAGTTATTGGCTAGCGTAGCATACAATAACGGTTTTATCCGATGGCTTTACGACG